TGCTTAGAGTAAACTTACTGAAAGTGAATCCGTGGAGAGTTTCCTGCTCACTATGCTCGCTGAGCGCTGTGGTCCTTTGTGCGTTTGTGATTCAGAGCCGTTCTGCTCCGAGCCGCCCGTTTGCTTCATTTCCTGAATTGGCTCTGTGCTTTTATGAACAACAGCCACATGTTCTTCCTCTTCAGGTTTGTTGGATTCAGTAACAGAGGAGATCGGGGCTGTTTCTGAGCAGAAATCGGACGATACGCTGTTGCAGATTTCATTTGGTGCCTGGACCTCAGGTGGCTCGTCACAGGGTGGTATCTGGGCAGAGGGTGTGGGAGGCTCTGGATCAGAACTTTGGAGCTGTTCTGCAGGATTTAGGGATGACATATCGTGGTCCTGGATCTCGCTATCTGAGCCGCTGAATGTCATGTTCTCTGACAATGGTTCGCCACTTGTGCTGGAGATGAATGAGTCTTCACGCATGGAGTCCTGACTGAACTGTCCCTTTCCCCGGAAATCAGACAGCACACTGCAGAAACACACAAGTCAGAGAACTGATTATCTATCTGCCACATCTCTGCAATGTCGCATAAAAATTAGCATAGTGGTTTTTGTTACTTGAAATATTGGTTAAAAAAAATACCGTCAACCATAGAAAGAAAGAGACGGGTATTTGAAGTGTTTTCTTAAATTGTTATAGAAATAACTTTTTAAACATTATTTGATTATTTTGATATTGCTGCTTGTCTGGATTCACAATTTTAAAAGATTTTTTGAAGAAAAACAGTAAAAAAAAAAAATAAAAATCCATCCTGATCTTAAGAGCTTCCCCAGTTTTTTCACAAACTTACTCTTTTTGGCTTCTTTTGCTGCCGTTTTTGACAATTATGGGTGCGTCCAGGTCACCTGAAGACCAATGCTCTGCGGTCGGGCTGCGGGGGTCCTGTCCTTGCAGGAGGCTATCGGAACTCAAACTGGAGGAAAGCTGGGAGGACCCTGTGGTGTCCAGACTCAAACTAGATGAGTAAAGAGCTGTCTTTTCTCCTTGCAAAATCTCTGCTCCACTTGAAAGAGCTCTCTGTGCATCCATTGGATCAGATGAACCCGATGACTGAGATAGAGTGTCCCAGGACTCCTTACGTCCCGGCTTGGAGGCGAGATGCTCAAAGCCATTGAGGGTGTCCGCCTGGGACAGTGGGCAGAGTCCAGCCAGAGCCAGAGGCGTGGTGGTCCACTCCTTAAGGACAGCCGACTTGTACGACAAGCTGAATGTGAGCGAGGCCAGACCCTGGAGGTAGCTGAGCAGAACTTCCCTGTCTTCTTCATTCAGCAGCAAGGCATTGGGTTGATAGTGGGCTCGCAGCTTTGAGTCCTCCCGAAACAGAGATGTGAGGTAGCACTCCAGAAGGCCGTGGTTCAGAGCTAACCGCAGCCATGCTCTGCAGCGGCCCACATCTGTGCCGAGGTAGCTGATCTTCTCCAGCTCTGTGATCACGTCACTGGAAATGTTTAACAGACACTTTCAGGATTTTATAGTTTTCTATTGTTTTTTTTATTCATTATTCTTATATATGTGTGGTGTTTTCTGTTTGGGCTTACCGGTGGGTGACTGTCTTGAGGAGGCTCCAGAAAAAAGGCTGAGGGAGGACTCCTCGGTCTCCCTTCCGACTCCAGCCTCCAGCTTCGGAGCGGATATACTTGCTCTTGATCCCATGGATGAAAATGGCCTCCAGGGCAGAGCAGAGGAGGTTGGCATCCCCGTCTTCACTGGTGACCACATCATCTGATGCCACATATCGTTTATGAAGGGCTTTAAGAGACTGGGCCAACTTCTCTTTGATCTATTTGACGACATAAAATACAGAAACATGACTTATCATTCAACCTCTATTGACATCAAAATCCTAGGCGATGAAGGACCGAGTGGTTAGAGCTCTTCAACAAAGCTGTATCATTTTTAAACCTTGCCTGCAGATTAAAATCATGTCAGCCAGTGTCAGCTGATATGGAAAGGAGATCATAAACAGAAAAAAAAAAAGTTAGAGCAACATTGCGCAACACTTTGTGGAAAATGCTGATTCCTTTAAACGTTGCTGATCATTGACAGCTCTTCGCTCTGAGCCCTGTAGAGATTTTTGGCTCCAACAGATGTAGTTTTGAAGCAATTAAACATTTTTAACATCTATTCTCCATGTCAATTTAGAGACCACGACTTTGTAAGTTTGGTAAATGGTAATTCTATTTCTGTTCTCAAGTTGAAGAAGACTCATCAGTACTTTATGAGATCCCCAAAACTGGAGATATTGCTTTAAAGAATAACTGCTTATCTCTGACTAGTCTGATGCGTTATTGACCTTCAGCAGCCCTCTGAGGCCTTCACAGAACAGCAGGATTTACACATATATTCATAAACAGTGGTGGTAATTGATTTTAGTCATGATGCGTCCTCTGAAGATGTTTAATTACCCAGGATTTCATGTAGATGACTAACTGAATTAATACATTCCACATTTCTTGATTTTTCTAATGTTAAGAAAGGGGGAAAACCAATGATTGGTTCCACAGTGGTTGGTCTACACTAGGGATGGAACGGTTTATGAAAACTTATTGAATGCCTGATAACTATAGGATTATTTTGGAGGCTTTTTAGTTATTTGGAAGAATAATGTCTGTGGAATGGGGAAGAAAAAAAAAAGCTGAGGTAACTGACAACTGGGGGAAAGATCGGTACTAAACCCGTAGAAAATATCAAACAGATGCCGCGATTTTTTTTAATGGTTCTTCGAGATAATTGGGAGTTTTTATTTTAAAAAGATTGATAAATGGGTGTCGTTTGTGGATAACGGTGTGCTTAATTTGCCCTTTGGCAAAATATCTACTTCTCCATATGCTGCTAAACCTTACTTTTTTTTTTTTTTTTTTATAAGTGAGGTCTCCTTTTTTCTACCTACTTCCTTTCTAAAAACTGAAATAAACCCAAAGAGTTTTCTCATTAGTGAAGATCACTGTGGGACACAGCAGGACTATCAAAAATCTATGGCAGCAAAATGTAGGACATTTCTGACAAAAATGGATGTGGCCGATATGTATCTAATCTGAAGAAATCAGAAAAGTCGTCTCATGACAGCACATTTCCCTGAAGCAGACCCAGAAGGCAAACTGGCTTAAAAAAAATGTTTTAAGTAAATCTACGAAGCTACGTGTTTACAGCCAAGTAGAAGTAATACTAACAACCAACCTAACCACAGAGCGGTGGATGCTTCCTGTTATCTCATGCACGGGGCTTGTCTTCATATAAAAAAAATAACTTTTCTTTTGAGACTTCTTTAAAGAGACAGTGAATAAATAAATTATTCAACTATCTAACAGTCGGAGGGGGGTGGGGGTTACACCTCAAATATTAAGCTTGACAAGGTTTGGGAGATGGGAAGAGAAAACTGTTAGTGAGCTATAATATTTCCGGTAAATAACTATGGATTAGGGATGGAACGGTTTGTGAAAACCGTCAGAACCGTTCGGTTCGATGTTGCGTTCGGTTCATGCGCGGCTCCTTTTTGTCATAGGCGAAGCGTGTACACTCCAGAGCAGAAGGTGGCGGTACTGCGACCAAAGCCAACCACCAGTAGTAAACAAGAAGAAGAAGAAGCGAAGCAGCTTAGCCGGGTGTAGCCGAAATAAATCAGTTGTTGTGGAGAATTGTGTGGGTATGGCGAGTGGGAAAGAACAGGAGTTGGAAGACGCGCCAGCAGCACTTTATAGGGCTGCTGTATGGGACCACTTTGCATTTAGAGTGACCTACGATGACGGCGGAAAGAAAGTTGTGGATAAAAGTGTAACAGTGTGCAAGCATTGTGCAACACGTTTTGTTTATGCCAACAGCAACATGACCAACATGTCAGGCTAACCCCGAAATCCCACATACTCTGCTCCGCTCCAGACCGCCTGCTTAAAGCAAAGCATACAGCCTCCACTGTGGCTCCCGTCCGCTCCGCTCTGAGTTCCTTGGAGATCGTAGAGGGCATGCGCCAGATGATTAAATTCAAAGCAGCAAAACATGCGGAAATTATCCAGGGTTTCCGCAAATCAGTAAAAATAATTACAATTCATTAATATTTTGGGATTTTTTCATTAATTTTGGTGTAACAATCAACATATACTGAACCGAACCTAAAACCGTGACCACGAAACCGTGAACCGAACCGAACCGTGGATTTTGTGAACCGAACAGTGGATTTTGTGAACCGTTCCACCCCTAGTCTACACCATCAGACTTAAAATTATTTATTGAATTCTGTGGTTGTGATGCACAAAAATGCAGTAAAATAAATCAAGATATAACAAAATCCTCTTTATATGAGCAGTCAGACAAAACTTAGACAAAGTGCATCTGCATCTTCCTTCTTTGTGAGGTCATTAAAATGTTTTTAATCTTCCCAGTCTACCACGACCATATCAGGCTTTTAGTCGGCAATGCATACAGACGTACATTGGACGCCCTTTACTGAAAATATTAGAAAATGTTTGCCCTGTTTTTTTGGTTTGTACAACTTTGGTAAGCCCTAATTTTCCTCTGGAATATGGTGGAATATCTATTGTCCTTTTGGACAACTTCATACGTGGGAAGAAGTAAGCTGCGCTGTTAGCAAGCAGGTAAGCTTGACACTTGGAACAGTTTATGAAAACTCATTGAATGCCTGATAACTATAGGATTATTTTGGAAGCTTTTTAGTTATTTGGAAGAATAATGCCTGTGGAATGGGGAAGAAAAAAAAAAAGCTGATGTAACTGACAACTGGGGAGGGGGGGAAAGATCGGTACTAAACCCGTAGCAAATATCAAACAGATGCCGCAATTTTTTTTAATGGTTCTTCGAGATAATTGGGAGTTTTTATTTTAAAAAGATTGATAAATGGGTGTCGTTTGTGGATAACGGTGTGCTTAATTTGCCCTTTGGCAAAATATCTACTTCTCCATATGCTGCTAAACCTTACTTTTTTTTTTTTTTTTTTATAAGTGAGGTCTCCTTTTTTCTACCTACTTCCTTTCTAAAAACTGAAATAAACCCAAAGAGTTTTCTCATTAGTGAAGATCACTGTGGGACACAGCTGGACTATCAAAAATCTATGGCAGCAAAATGTAGGACATTTCTGACAAAAATGGATGTGGCCGATATGTATCTAATCTGAAGAAATCAGAAAAGTCGTCTCATGACAGCACATTTCCCTGAAGCAGACCCAGAAGGCAAACTGGCTTAAAAAAAATGTTTTAAGTAAATCTACGAAGCTACGTGTTTACAGCCAAGTAGAAGTAATACTAACAACCAACCTAACCACAGAGCGGTGGATGCTTCCTGTTATCTCATGCACGGGGCTTGTCTTCATATAAAAAAAATAACTTTTCTTTTGAGACTTCTTTAAAGAGACAGTGAATAAATAAATTATTCAACTATCTAACAGTCGGAGGGGGGTGGGGGTTACACCTCAAATATTAAGCTTGACAAGGTTTGGGAGGTGGGAAGAGAAAACTGTTAGTGAGCTATAATATTTCCGGTAAATAACTATGGATTAGGGATGGAACGGTTTGTGAAAACCGTCAGAACCGTTCGGTTCGATTCGTGTGTGTTTGGTTTGGTTCATGCGCGGCTCCTTTTTCTCATAGGCGAAGCGTGTACACTCCAGAGCAGAAGGTGGCGGTACTGCGACCAAAGCCAACCACCAGTAGTAAACAAGAAGAAGAAGAAGAGAAGCAGCTTCAGAAGTAGCCGAAATAAATCAGTTGTTGTGGAGAATTATGTGGGTATGGCGAGTGGGAAAGAACAGGAGTTGGTAGACGCGCCAGCAGCACTTTATAGGGCTGCTGTATGGGACCACTTTGCATTTAGAGTGACCTACGATGACGGCAAAAAGAAATTTGTGGATAAAACAGTGTGCAAGCATTGTGCAACACGTTTTGTTTATGCTAACAGCAACATGACCAACATGTCAGGCTAACCCCGAAATACCACATAGTCCGTGAGCGCTCCGCTCCGCTGCGCTGCGCTCCAGACTGCCTGCGAAAAGCAAAGCCTACAGCCTCCAGTGTGGCTCCCGTCCGCTTCGCTCTGAGTTCCTTGGAGATTGTAGAGGGCATGCGCCAGATGATTAAATTCAAAGCAGCAAAACATGTGGAAATGATCCAGGGTTTCCGCGGATCATTAAAAATAATTACAATTCATTAATTTTTTGGGATTTTTTCATTAATTTCGGTGTAACAATCAACATATACCAAACCGAACCGAAAACCGTGACCACAAAACCGTGAACCGAACCGAACCGTGGATTTTATGACCCATTCCACCCCTACTATGGATATATAATGAAATAGTAGTCAGCTAATATCTAATTGTTAAAGGACAGATACCTCCGATCTATAACCTCGAAGACTTCAATGAATTGGTTGATTTTAAGTATGATAAGGAATAATTATAAGAAATTGTTATTGCATTAATGATGAACAATTTATTGCCAAAACTGGGCAATGCTACATTTATAAGAAAAAGTAGAAAAACGAGTAACTGGTTGGTATTACAGTTTCGACAGAGAACAAATCAATATAAGCCAACTGTTGTATAAGTCAGAGTTTTTATAATCTGTGTTCCAGGCATTTCTGCTGAAAGTGTTTAGCTGCACAATTAGATAAGTAGTTCAGTGAGAGCTGTGTAAAGGATGCACATGAGTTTAAAAGGTCAGCTCTGCATGTTCTAATGGCTATTGATTGCACATTGGAACATGAGTCGGTTCTTTGAATTACTGATGAATTAAAGGCTGTTCTCACATTTTATGATAATGTACTTCCCCAATATTCTTAACAAGAAATCTCTTTACAAATGTTTATAAAGATATTAAGATTTAAATGTACTAATAATATGAAATTTAAGAATAGGCTAATCTCATACCTTGAAAACTTTAATAAACTTATTGGGGGGTTTTGGTTCTCGTATTCAAATATTTTTATCTGATTTTGCACAAAAATTAAAGCTGATTAACACCTAATGCACAGTAGCTTATGCAGCAATTGTTACAGTCATTAAAATTTGACAAAGCAGGACAAATGTTCCTGAGGTATTACCACAAAATAATAATAGCCTTTGGAAACACAATAGGTTAGACATTGAAATGGATAAATCTAATCTATTTTTACCTGTTTGGCTTCTTTCGCCTCCGGTTGCTTTTCTGGCATCTGTGTGGCAAGCATGTCACCTCCTCCAGCAAAGGTTTCTCTCACATGGCACCTTAGGGCACAACAATATGTCTCAACTCTTGTTAACTATTTACTGTGGTCCATTGACTGCTATGAACAGATCTAATATTCAATATATTAAACTGGAAGAACCTGCTTCTATTTTTTAAGACTAGTTCCTGACATATGCTTCCTTATCATGGGACTGCCTGTTCACATATCTGCAGTTCCATCCTCTTTGAGTAACCACTCTGGAACTGAGTCATGTGAGGCACTGATTAACCATGATGCATGTCTGCAGGGAAGTAGCTTTAAAAGTTTTAGAACTTCCTCAATCAAATAAAGAGCTCCACGATTTAAAAGAGCAGATTAAAGTACAGCACACAAGAAGAGTTCCTTAAACTTTACACGCAAACATGACTGGTTCAACCTTGTCTAAGCTGCACTGGAGCCACCAAAAAAAGCTTTAATTAATTCAAAAACAGCCTGCTAGATTCAGGGGAAATTTAAAAGGCGACAACAGAGGAGGAAGGTGATTTAAAATGTCAAAACTATCTTGTTTCAATAAAGAAAAATAAAGCTTGTTTATACTCCCGACTGCCATTTGCAAAGCTTCAGATGTTTGTGCAGCTATTTGACCTCAAGGACTGCAAGACCTAAACATTGTTTACAACAAACACAGAAATCTAAGCTATGGTTTTTATATTAAGGACAACGAACATTCAAATATCACCCTAGATTCAATCTAAATTCCGCTTTAAAGCAGTGAACCAGAGTTAAATTAGCTTAACGGTTAGCTTACTTACCAAAACAGGGCTAACTTGTCCAAAGAAACGCGCTCGTATTGTTTGGGAATTTGTTTTAAAGTCGGTGTAAAGGCACAGAGAATGTCACTCTATATAGTTGCCTTCCATCGTTTTACGTTAAAGCAATTTAATGGTTATAAAACACCAGCTGACCTCAACTAGAAATGATTCCTCCTCTTACTGTTGCTGTTTTACTGAACCCCGATGCATCATGGGAAGTAAAAACCGCGATGCCTTCAAAGAGCTTCCTAAAAAATAGGAAAACTAAAAACTTAACGCAACAAAAAGCTTACCAGGTTAAAGCAAAGAAAACAATGCTACTATAGTTCCACTCTAACATTATGGATTTCTGTTAGACAAATTAGATCTTGCATTGTTACTTCATTTCCTAAATTAAAAAAAAAAAAACGCCAGGCTATTACCAGAGATATACAGGCCTACTATCTTTTTCAGTTAAACGTTAGACATTACCATCCCTGCAGCTTTGCTAGTTAAAATGGTTAAAGGAACGTCTATTTTCAAAGTTAAAAGGGAGACGAAAGCAAATTACCTACAACAATCCTACAAATGCTAATTTTAGATAACAACTGCTCCTCTAACGGCAACACCTAAACGCCTCATCTCAGATTTGTTGTGGTTTAGTTGAGTGTATGCAACTTTCCATAAAGCCATTCTTTCCTCGGTCTAGCAAAATAAAACTTACAGCAAAAGCTGTGTGTTTATTATTAAAATACCACTTTTTGGATAGATGTGATGGGAAAATATTTTGTTCGTGCTTTTCTTATTTCCTTCTTTCCTTTTAAAGGGCTGCCACATTTTTTTCTTTTTTTTTCTTTTCTTTTCTTTAAGAATACAGTTTTTTGTAAATAGAGGACAGCTAACCTTCCTCTACGGGATGCTGATATTCTGGGAAAATTCTGTTGCAAAGGAAAGAGTTTCTAATCCAAATGTCAAGAGATAAAAAAAAAAAAATATATAGAAGTATACTGATTTATCTGTCAGCCGATCGATCAACATTGATTTCCTTAATTTTATGAGAAGTAAATAGCTGACACTTATTTATCTAATCAGCCTTATCCACCCATCTTATCTACCTATTTATAAAAAATGTAAAATTCAGCCACTATCAATTTTATAAAATTTTCACTTTTATTTGAGACTGTGCATCTAAAGTGAGTGTTTATTGTTTCATGGGTAGGCCTATAGTGTCATTTTTTTTTTTTTTACAAAATATTATTAAAACATCACAGGTGTATTGTTATCCTATAACAGGTGTGATTTTATAAAATTGCTAACAATCAAAATCGGAACCTGCATGTCAAACTTTTCAAAGATTGGTGATTGGTCAGAAAATTGCAGTCGGTCTATCCAGTAATTGAAAAAACTTATACCTTTAGGGTCATTCTCATGCACAAATTTAGAGCTGTTGTTCAATAAAAATAGAAAAATAAAAAACTAGTTAAAACCTTTGGCATTTGTTATTGAAACTAAATTAGAAAATGTTAACTGGTTCTGTATTATTTCTAGCTGAAGGTATTAGCAGCCACCGCAGAAGGTCCAAGGAACCACTTTTGGGCCCCAAAGCCACAGGTTGCAGGCCCCTGTTCTGGTTGAAAGATGAGAAGTTAATGTTCTGAGAGAGAAGGAAAAGTCAACTTAGCATGCTTAATCATTCTCCTCTAACATTTTTATATCCAAATTAAGTCAAGCAGACTTATATTTGTAGTCTGTGACATACACACACTCCTCCTTACACTAGAAATCACTTTATAAGGTGATTCCTAATTTTGTTATCATTATGTGAAAAAAAGTATTCTGTACTGATGCTTAATTATATCCATTTTTGGTACTAAATGGATCCATCTGTGTAAAACCCAGGTTAAGCTGCCAAGTGAACCAATGGTTTTAATTTTATATAACCAGAAGGTCAATAGGAGCATTTATTTTGTCAGTGTCTGCTCATTAATGAAATTGATGAATTTGTTGAGCAAACACATGGTGCTCTGGTCACAAAAAAAACAAAATCAAACTTTTTGACAAAAATGTTATACTGATCTTAGATTTGCTCCTGGAATAATAAATGGCCGCTGCAAAACTTTATTCCTGCCTCAGGTTTGGCATCTGAAAGCCTGTTTCCTCTTTTAGTTTCGCCATCTCAAAGAAAATACTCATTATATGACTTTGTTGGCACCCCGGTTTTTAATTTGTGTTATACAGGAAAAGTTATTCAGTTGTATAACTATTGACAAACAGCCACTCAGACAGTGTTAATAAATTGCTTGAGGAACCAAAATGCAGAGGAGGCAGCAATCACCTGCAATAGGCAACAAAAAAGGCCAAAACAAGACATTCCACAGGACCAATACTAACAATACTTAGAAGGTTTCAGCAAAATTACAGGAAAGTAACTTAACAGGATGTTTTCTCCCAAACTTACCTAAAGAAATATCTGAACATAAGAAATGAATAACAAACTTACACATTACGGCAATATAAAAACTAACAAGGCCTGTTTAAAGTGACCAGCCTTTACCTTTATTATATTATTCTAACAGTGTATTACTTTCCTACAACTTAACATTGTGCACTAGTCCCTTGCACGTCTGCAGTTAGTGCAAAATGGAGCCACATAGCTTTTAACTGAAGTACATATGGGAGCATATAACGTTTGCTGTTTGCATGAAAAATGTGGAAAGATTTAAGGCCTATAAATCATTTTGCAAGTTGTTACATATTCTAGAAACATTTTAATATTAATGACTTATAGACTTGCTATTACAATAAGGATGAAAAGAACGCCTCTTTTTGTCTAGAACACAATATTTATTGCTTGAACTTCTTTTCCAAATGACAAACATGGGAATTACAAGTATTTTCATCAAAGTTAAATAAACTAAAGTAATAAATAAAACAAAATAAATAAATATGGAACAAATATAGCAAATATATTAAAAACCTTTCCACATTATTGAAAGCCATAATAGGAAGGAGGAAAAACAGATACTGAAGGAGCTAAACAAATAAATATAAGTATAAAAAGATATTGAAAGAAAGTGAAACTGACAAAAGTACAAAAATATGCTAATAATAATAACAATAAGAGGTGATAAAATAAGAATAATACTAAATAAACAGAATAAATAAAATAAATACTATTAAAGGTATGAATACTTTGTAATACACGACAAATGTCAAAATGGCATTATAAATAGATGACTAACTTAGATAATTTCTGTAATATCTCTATGATTTTAGCTGCTGAGTACAGTAGAAACCAGGTGGTCTGCTTTCATTAGATGGACTTTGATTTCCCTCCTGATCAGCTCCCAGGCTTCAGGACTGTGACCCTAAAGACACAAACATTTGATCATCATTATTACAACATGCAGCTTTAATAAAACTTGATGAGCACAGCAGCAGATCAACAATGGAAAC